AGATGGAGCTCCTGCATGTCTCCACCGAGCGAACAGGAGGAGCACGTGTACAGTTCCATTAAAAGACATCCTTCCTTCAACGCTCCTTCTTCACCCTCGTCAGAGTCTTCCCCGTCGAGTCACTGTCAGTCACTCGGCTCTCTGGGCAGCCAGGAGAAGACTGAACTCAAATGTAACGGACCCTCGGACAGACTCCGCGGCCCCAGTCTGGGTCGCACCGGTCGGCAGAGTAGTCTCCCAGAGCGCTCGACCCACGGACAGTCAGACATGACTTTACAGGACGGTCAACAGGTGGTCGTCCTGAACCGGGCTTCTGCACTGAGCATCCTCAACGCCACTCAGAACTACATGGCTAACTTTAAGGACGATGAGGAAGACGATGACGACTACGTAGAGATCCGCTCGGAGGACGAGAGCGAGCAGGAGCAGGACAGGTTGGCGCGGCAAAACGGCTGCTCGGCAGTCCTTCCCAACCAGAACCGGGGTCTGGTCCACTCCCAGAGTCTCCCGTGCAGCCCGCTGCACTCCTGCGATCAGCAGAGGGCTCTGGACCGTGAGCAGCTGGAGAAGTACCTGTGGAGCGAGCCGCAGCAGAGCCAACCCAAAATCGTCCAATCTCTGAGGGAGAAGTTTCATTGTCTGAGCTCCAGTAGCTTCGCCTGAGTCTTTATGACAAATACAAAGCCAAATATAAATAAACATACAGCATATAGCAACAAAAGGGACACTGCTGCTTTGCCATCCAGATTTCAACATTATAGTCCACAAACAATGACACATCTCTCAGCATAGAGCAGAAGCAATTTCTTTGATTGCAGCGATATTTGCAACTCTCTGTGACAGGGCTTTAATGTAAAAATAAATAATTAATATTAATAGCCTCAGTGTGTGCCGCCTTAGCACTTCCAAACAGTCTTATTGTGTAGGCTTCAAACAGATCTGGTGGTGAAAAGTAATCGGTGAAAGCAAAGATTGTCTCGTAAAGGCATTCAGTGTGACTGAACGGGTTTTAATATTCATAGGAATTTTAACTATTTTATCGCTTTACATGTGAGCCTTGTAGATGTAATTGGAGTCATATGAATTGGTTCTGCTGGAGGACTTGATGCCATTAAACTGTTGTACAGTTACAGTAAAAGTTCAGGATACCTGTTACTGATTTTAAGAAATCTTGTCCGTGCCCAAACAGTAGTAAAAGCATGAAATATCTGATGATTCACCACACAACTGACTTTTCAAGCTCTTTTTATTTGCCACAAAGCTTATTTTACAGCATTTTCAGCACTAGTTAATCTCCTATTAAGGAGCTGTGAACCACAATGGTGGCTGCTCTAGTGTTTTTAATTGTGCTTAGTTACACTATTAAACAGATCTGAACATGCAACTTTTTTCAAATTTGCATCTTGAGGCTAGATTGTCACTTTGAACAGCTTTTTAGCAATAATTGTAATAAGTAATGATGCCGCTGTAAAGAAAACACGTTGACTAAGATCCAATAAGTTAAGTATAATTTAGACCTTTGAGTCTATTTGAGGTTATTGTGTTTCACTCTATCTGCAACCTTTGTCATCAATAGGGTAAAACACGCTTTAAAAATCGAGAGAAGATGCTGATATTTTAGACAATTAAGAAACCATAGGGCTTCATATTTATTTTGAATCTGTGAGTAAATCAGGGATGGTTTTTCATGTCAAAGTCTGGGGGCATCCATCATGTATACAGTGAAATGTGCATCTCAACAAGTGGATGTTTCTTATCATATTCATTTTAACCTTTAAGAGGGACCACGAAGGAGAACATTAGGGGAGTTGGTTGAAAGACTACAGTACTGTATTATTTGGTGTATTTGTTTTCCCTCTCACATGGATAGTTTGTCTACTTTGTTTATATTATGGAACACTCTGTCACACTACTGATATCACTTCACAGAAAGAAATTCACAGTCGGATAGTTGTCAGTCACTTTAATAAGGTTCATACAACACAATTGTTTCTCTTCCCTCGAAGCATACCCAGTATTTATCACACACTGTCTTAATACAAATCACCAAAGTTGTCCTACTGTTTGCAAGCATCCCTGGTTATTGGTCTGTTTCACGTTGACCTTAAGCCACAGACAAGTTATAAAATACATTATTTATTAAAAGAGGTTTTATTCTGATTTTAGGGGCGCAAACAAAATTGGAATTAAATACTGTGAATATTTTTTTAGAAGTTCCTTTCACGCACTGCTTAACACAAGTTCCAAATCCAAACAACACGTGAAAAATTGAAAAGCACAATATCATGGCCTACTGTTTAAACCAGGAAATATGTATCATAAGCAAGTTAGGAATATGAAGTATGTTCTTTTTTCATTGTACATTTATGTCCTCTGTTTCACTGGTGGGGATTGTCTGTCTTCATTGAGTCTTTTTTGCACTTTCTGTCTTTTTTTACATTTTATTTGTAAACACTTTGTAAAGATGTACATTTTAGGAAAGTTATTCTTGTATACATTAGGTATGCTTTATAATGCTTTAATGTTTAAGTTAAGTGTACTGTATTTTTTTAACTGCCTAGTCGTCATTGCTCAACAATGTATTGGAGGTAATAAATTCAAATTAAACTAATCTCTGTGTTTGTGTGGTTATCACTGAATAAACATGAATGGTATGACAACATATTTTAAATCTGAGATTATTTTCAACAGTATTCCTTGCTTATTCCTTCAAGAACACATAATAAGAACAAATACAAGGAGAGCAGCAGAAATATGACAACAATTTAGATGACATACATTTTGTAAGGATTAGCCTTGGCTTGGGGATAAAAGTAATTACTTCCCCATTGATAGAGTAGCATGTAGTGCCTTTAGTTTTATAATATAAAAGGTATATCAGGTTATATAAGAAATATATCATGCAGATACCAGCCTACCTTGGTGTTTAAACATCATGCTTGGTAATCAATTGGTTATTACATTATGGTAGCTAGGTCCATGTAAAGAAATAGGGGAATTGTGTCAACATTTAGAATTACTGTACAAAAGACAAAATTCTCAATGATGAAAAGTAGGCCTGAAGCCCAACCAGTAATATATTTTTGAGCCCAAAATCAATAACTAAAATTGAGAACATTTAATTAAATTTACAATTTAAATATGTTCTTCATATTCTGACCAAGAGATTTCCTGCAGACATTTGATGGATACAAAATAAACTTCTCAGAGCAACACAGAGGTTGGCATACAATTTAATGGTGACAGAGTTTCTACATTGTCCCAAACATATAATTGACATTTTTGCACTGCAATTTCTTCTAGCAAAGTTTGACAATAAATAGTTTTGCCAATTTATCAGGTGATGAATATTAAACATAATACAATTCCTCCAAAACAAAACTAAGAGTATGACGGTGAAATTCAAGAAAAAAAAGAAAGAATAAAGGAACAGAAACACATCTATATAATGTAATGTAAAAAGAAGGGGGAAAACCCTCTATACCACATGTGTCAAACTCAAGGCCCAGGGGCCAAATCAGGCCCGTGGTGGATTTAATTTCGGCCCGCAGGATAATTTTTAATTACTATTAGATCTGGCCTGCCGGTATATTGCACGCACACCTTCACTCAATCCTGAGGATTTCCTCCGCTCAGAGCCTGACCCCAAACATTGATGAACTTGCACCCAAGATGAGATGCCAAGTATCTGGCTTCAACTAGCATCACAGAGCAGCACACTGAGTTTAATGGATGTTCTATGGAATGCCATTTAAGCCAAAATTAAATAAATAAACACATAAATAATTAAATAAATACATATATATATATAAATATGGCTATGAAATAAATTCTAAAATAAATAAATTAGGCAATAAATATGTATACATGTACATTTAAATACACATTTATTTATTTCATGGGACTTTTATTTCATAATGACACATTTATTTATTTCAAGAGACTTTTATTTCATAATGACACATTTATTTATTTCAAGAGACTTGTATTTCATAATGACACATTTATTTATTTCAAGAGACTCGTATTTCATAATGACATATTTATTTATTTCAGATGACTTGTATTTCATAATAACGCATTTATTTATTTCAAGAGACTCGTATTTCATAATGGTGCATTTATTTATTTCATGTGACTTGTATTTCGTGATGAGACATTTCCATTCCTTACATGCAAATGAACGGGGCGTGGTTAGCTCACAGATCCAGACCAAAGCAACAGCACCACAACACTGACTCAATAGCTTTTGTTTCACACTCCAGTACTCTTAAGTGGTTTGCAAACTGCCAATAAACCAAACCGGTTCAAGAACCATTCTTGTGCTTTTCTGGTGCTTAACTGGTTCTTATCTGGTCTTATCTGGTCCGCCCAATGCTGCTCTTCTGAGAGCAACCGCTCTGACAGCTCTCTCTAGTCTCTACTGGGAAACAGCTAAAAGTCCTTCTGGAGGTAAGCAACGCTACACAATTACACCCAGTCTGAGAATAAAATATGTCTCGAAGGTTCGTTTTGCTTTCTTACAACGTTAAGTTAATGTTAACGTAACCTTACGTTTGCTAGGAGGCTATTGTTACGAGCTAGCTGTCTCAACTAACAACAGTTAGCAGCTAACGTTTTCTGCAGTTTGTGTTGCCCCTGAAAAACGTGATGTAGTTATTTAAGGGTATGTTAAATTAACGTTATTTTACAAGTTGAGAGTTAAGTTGTGTTTAAAATTGTCAATGTAAGTCTCGCTCTTGTCATCGTTCAGGCTTTGCATTTGAACTCCTATGACTGGTTGCGGACTTGAAGGGAACGTCTTCCTGACATCCAGGAAAAAGGTGAGATTATAATACATTTGAATGCCAAAAGCAAGTTATTGTTTTTAACTTTTTAAATATGATTGTTTTGGGGCATTTCAGTTGTATTAGACAGAGGCAGTAGATATCTACTGGAAACAGTGGAGAGGGAGGAGATGATATGCAGCATACGGCCCAGCCGGATGGTTGCTGCTCCGTGTGGAACGTGTTCTATCAGGTAAAGCACTTTGGTACCCAGTTATTTATGGTATTGAGTTTGAATTTAGCTTTTGGAATGTAATTTCCAACAGTGCATTGTAAAGACTGAAAAAACAGCCTCAGGTTAAAGCTTGACATGATTTGGTCTTTTACTTAAGAGGATGTTTGTCCTCCTGTGTTGTCTTATTTCCTTATCTTTCTTTCAGGTGTAACATCTACCAATGGTTGTACATGACAGAAACCTCCTCCACCTCTTTGCTGTCTTACTAGTCAATCCTTTCCTAAATAGTGGTAAGTTTTACAGTTCAGTGTACGTTAATTTAGCAACTTAATGCTTTACCGCTGTTGAATAAATCCTATATTGCTAGTCATTTTATTAAAACTACGATTTGTAAACTTTTTGATTATTACAATAATCTTTTTGTTATAATTGTAAAACATATCTTAACATCCATCAGCAATCAATACAACAAATCATCCAACACTAAATAGAAGAAATCTGGACCTATTTCTTTTGATACAGCAGCATGTTTTGGGACTGATCATTGATGTCATCAAGTGCTATATAAATAGTTATACTAATATTATTGTTGTTACCATCATTACCATTATTAATAATGTCTTCTTTGTTTTCTTTATTCATCGCTGCAGAAAGGATCATGCCAGCCCACATCAAACACCTGATCAAGAACTTGTGAACCTCACTGCTGCGGACACCTGTGTGATATTCGACTCTGACTGGAACCCTCAATATGACCTGCAGGTACGATATATATATATATCTGCTCTGTCTGTCCTAAAGATAGTTCAATAGGGCTACAACAACAACAGTCTTTCCGTTTATTCCCTCGGTTCTTTAAGTGTATATTTTCCCATTTAATGCTTAAAACGTTGAACAGCAGCTGCACATGATGCTCTTTTGAACCCTCTTTTAATTTTTTATTTCAGGCTCAAGCTCGGTGTCATCGTTTTGGCCAGTCTAAGGCGGTGAAGGTGTACCGTCTGATCACTAGAAACTATGAGAGGGAAATGCTGGATAAAGCTAGTCTAAAGCTCGGGCTGGACCATGCCGTCCTGCAGAGCATGAGTGGGAACAAAGAAGGCAACAACAACGGGGTGAGAAAAAGAAAATCTGTCATATTTCTAGATGCCATGTCATTTTTGGGTCAGTCGCTGTTGCAGTACGCTTAGTTTATTTTCAAAAAGAGTTTTCTAAATCCACTTGTGTAAATGTCTCTCTGCGTCGCCTTTAGCCGGTCCAGCAGTTCTCCAAGAAGGAGATCGAGGACCTGCTGAGGAAAGGAGCCTACGCCGCCATCATGGACGAGAACGTCAAGGCAATCGCTTCTGCTAGGAGGACATCGACCAGATCCTGCAGCGAAGAGCCACCATCATCACCATCACCAGGTATGTTCTTAGCAGCACTAGCCACTTGCGCTTTGTGAGACACCAAGTACTTGGTTATTTGAAATGTAATATTGATGATGTAATAATTAAAACTAGGGATGGGTACAGAGCCCTGGTATTAAACGGGCCCCGGGGCTGTATTATTAAAGACCGTGGTACCGTTAACGTCCAACGTTATCGATCTTTTTATCGGTACTGGAGACATTTAAAAAATAGATGTCATATGTATTATATCTACATAAACATTATATCGCAGTCTTACTGTCGCCAACTCCGTTTCTAATATGCAATAAGACTACAAAGTGCGTCTATGATTTATTTTCGATCTTTCCAATCCAGACGAGAGATCTCTCTCCCCTGTCGGTGTGCGAGGGGGCGGGGCAGTTTACACACAGAACCTGCTACATGCATGCAACACACACACACACACACACACACACACACACACACGCACACGCACACACATGCGCACACAAACACATGGCGGAGAGAACTTAGCGCCCCCGAGGGTAGTTATGTTACCCGTCTTGAGCATGGATGTATAATAAGAACTGGATACAGCGTCGGAGGAGGGGCCTCGTTCTTTCCTATGAGAGCTGCTCATTGGCGCATGAAGTCAAAATGGCCCAACTTTTGAGAGAGCGAAACGTCACAGATTACCCGTCATGCCTGGCTGTCAGAGCAGAAGAACCCGTTTGTGCGCTCACAGAGCATGCGCCCCTTAAGCCCCGCCCCCGAGCACACACTCTCGGCTCACTAGAAAGAATGGAGAGAGAGAATAAATCTAGATTCGGCTTTTAGTGCATTTTACAACTTTAAGGACTTAATGATTCTAGGGCTATACAATAGTTCATACTGGGTAGTTTATTTAGTTTTAAAAAAATTATCCACCGAGTTACAGACGTCTCTTTCCCAATGTTAGTCAATGGGCCCCATCCACGAGTAACGTTTCCACGTCAGGTATATATTATGTATGCTAGCAGCAACACACAGAGTTAACTCAATGATACAAACATGGGTTAATGATTAGAGGTAACTGAGTTATTTATTTTGTTAAAGTTACAGCTATTCTGTTTGCAGTTCTATCATCACATAATTGAATACGATTTGTTAAAACATTGTTGTTTCTTATTTTCAGTTTGCTTCAAGCCGTGGCTGCACGAGAAAGACGTGGAGGACCAAGAAATGCTGGCCAGATTGGCAAAGACCGGAAGATACATAACAGAGAAGATAATGGATATTAACAAGAAAAATAACACATTTTTTATAATTTCTTTGTTGCTGTTTACATTTTGAATTATATTTGTTATTTGTAAATCAAATGCATCTATTTTAGATGATATATTTATTTAGATGTAGGTTTTTTTTGTAATATTATTGTATTAAGTATAATTTATTAAATAAAAATACTGTTATGAACACTATACAATGTCTTTATTTTGATGGTTACCAGAATACATTGTATATTTAATACTAACATAAGCTGGTGATAGATAAATGCTGGTCTGCTGGTATGCCAGCAGACACATATTTATAAAGCCAGGGTATGGCTGGGGTAGGCTACACCCATACCAAGAAATGGCTTAGCCCCACCATGAAAAATGATGTTAAAGTAAGCAAAATAAAGTCCGCCAACTCGCGCGGCGTAAATTGCACAGACAGCAGTTAGTAAGATTGATTTCAGTAGCGACTTGTCTGGAAATACGGAAGACCAGAAACGGAAAACGGTTTTGAAAACTCTTCCCAATAGAACATTTGATAATGTCTTCTGGCCAATCAGAATCAAGATAACGGCGTGGTGTTGTTGCAGGAAGTCCCGACGGAGAACACTTTTGCTGTAGTACAGGCATAGATATATATAAACACTAGATGGCTCATGGGAGATTTTCCAGCATAGCTGATCGGCCGCCATCTTGCTACAGTCAACAGTTACTCTGATTCGCGTTATGGTAGCTGTTGTAAGGTGAGTGATCTGCACAAAAATACTCTTAACTCGCTGAAATATTGACTGATTTACAAACGGTTTGGTTTATTATAAACATTATTAGCATGGCTATGATACAGGATGCTTGGACATGTTGAAATTGCAGCTTTTCTTTGTGTATGTGGTAGTATTTATTAGCTAGCTAATAACAAGAGGCTGTGAGTGAGACCTAGTATTAAGAAGTTCACCCAGCAACTGTACACCAGTGGGAGAGGCAGAACTGCTCTTTCTTTTCAACATAACTTAAGTTACACATGATTTCTTCCAAGTGGTTTGGCTTGTTAAAAACATCTTGCATTATGATACAGGAATTTGCTGGCTTTGTGTTTACAGAAGTACCTGACTTTTGTGCAGCCTACGGATGCTCCAATCGCCGCTGTCTGCAAACAAGAACCCGTGGGATCACCACATATGTTTATGTTTGCTCAGTCTAATAAACCCATAACATGGTTGTGAAAGAATACCAAAGCTGAGGCTGGACGATGATTGATTGTTGGTGTGCCATGTGTCACAGTGTGTCTTATTGGTTTTGTGTTATACTGTATTTTATTGTGTGCAGCTGGTCCTTATCTCCAAGACACATTTAAAACAAATAACCTTGAACCTTGAAGCCCCATCTCTACCCACCTGCTCCTGCTTCCTACATCCCCTCCACACCACACCAAGTTGTTCTTCTTAATAATAATAATACATTTATGTTGGGGGGCCGCCTTTCATAACACCCAAGGACCCCTTATAGGGGCAATATAGGGAACAATTTAAACAGTGGATGTTTAAACAAACAAACCACAAATGGACTACAGAAGGACACAAAAGGACACATGGTACAGTTTATATTATTCTTGGTCTTTTTTCAATAACATATTTCAAAGGTTCTGGATTTGTTTACAAATCTAGAAACTAAATACAAAACTAGGATGATATGAAGATCTCATGTCAAAAATAATTGTGATAAATTAGACAGAACTGGCCTGTCTGTGAGCACATTTTATGTTGGTTTGGTTCTTCTGATAAAGGTGTGAATATCTAAATAATATACCAACATATGCTATTATCATTAGTTGTCTCCCTGTTCTTCAAGCTAAGGCATTGCTAAATTAACAACTCTTGGCTTACAGAGTGGTAACATGAGACCGATTTTTATATATAAAATATAAATGTATTTTAATTTTATAATTTATTTATAATTTATTTTAAATATTAACAATATAATAAAATAAATGGAAATATATACACCGGCAAATATTTAATATAAATACCTTGTGTGTGTGTGTATAGCTATTGCTTTATCTGATTAATGTTATTTTCAAATGAAAGTCCATGATTATAAGTATGCAGTATCATAACTACATCTTTGATGTTTATAAAAAACCAAACCGTTTAAAAATTGGTTGAAAATTGAGCAAGCTATGGTTATTTAAATAGTAAACCATAATGTTATGAATGAGAGCACTGCCTGTAGCAAGAAGGCGGCCAAGTGGCAACGTCGGTCTCCATTGGCCAGCAGCGCGGGTCAGTCATCTAGTGTTTATATATATATATATATATATATATATATATATATCAGTGCTGGAATTGGGCCGGTACTCACCGGTACGCAGTACCGGCACTTCTGGTTCTGACCCATGGAGTACCGGCACTTCTTGCTCAGTACCGGCATGCTGGCGGTACTCCGGTACTCATGCACCGTGCCAGTACTCAACACTCTCCCGCCTTTCTTATTATACATCCATATATATATATACAGCCGCCCGGTACTCAGTAGATGCGTCATGAGGTGCCGAACGGACATTCTCATCGCTCTAACCGCTGGAGTTTCACAGCGGCTGTCAGCTGTTTACGCCTGTCATTCAAACAGAACGTGCTGGAGAGGGGGCGGGGCTTATCTTCTCCATGTAAATACTGTGGTGGAAACGACTATGTCAAAATTAACCTATTTGACCGTGATTTAATAGTAATACACGTTTCAAAATAATAATAATAATAATGCCGAAGTAACAACATACTGAAAACTGTTAGTAAAACCATGTTTTAATGCTTTACAATTTACATACCTAGATGCACGTGTGTTGTGTTTATGCAGTGCAACTCCCACCCAGTGGGTGGCTATGTAGAGTGATAGAACAGAGCAGGCACGCCCCCGAGAGAAGGAAAGCAAGTCACGTCACAAATTAGCATTTCTAAAATGTTAGCGTGGATTAATAAAAGTGCAAAAAGACAACGGTTGTCGCCGGAAGAAACTTCAAATACAGAGAATGCTGTGCCTGTGTTGGAAATTGTGTCTGATGGGGAGCTTTCTTTGGTTGATCCTCCTGCTCCAAGTTCTAGTGCATTAGCATTAGCACTAGCTCCGCCGCCTCCTCCAGAGCCTCTAACGTTAGCTGCTGCTGGCGCAACTGCCACCACCAACACCGGGCAAAGCGATGCACCTGACTGCTGGACAACGGACCAGGTGCAATATTTTTGCAAGACCAATGCATGGCTCCTTCTTAAAGATAAGAAGCTAGGATGTCGGATATGCAGAGATGTCAAATCTTTGGGAATACACACTGGACAAGGACTGAAACTGTCAACTGAATGGGGTGAGTGTGCAGTGTCTCATTTCGGTGTTGACAAGGGCAAACAACAAGCTAGCCTGAGAAAAAAATCAAAGAACATAAAGAATCACAAGCCCATGTAAAAGCTGCTGACATCCTTACATCTGCTTCACGTGAAACTATTCAACATCAAGTGCAGTCTATGCATAAATCTGAATTAGACACCACTATCAGAGTTTTTTCGAACGGCATATAAAATTGGCAAACATAGCCGGCCATTCACAGACATGCCAATTGATTTGAATGTACAGAAACTGAATGGGCTGAACGTGGGCAGGGTTTTGCACTCCAATAAAACCTGTGGCGAAATCATCGACCACATAGCTCATGAGCTGAAGAAAAAAATGGCAAAAGACATTACAGAAAACCAAAGAAAACTCTGTGTTTTGGTCGATGAATCTACCACTATTAGTGGTAAAACGGTGCTTGTTGTGTGTCTACGCTCAGCATTAGCTGATGCTGAGCCCGAAACGTTTTTTTGGGAGCTGATCGAGTTGGATGGAACAACGGCTGATGACATCACAAAGGCGTTAATGGAGTGTCTTGGAAGAGATTTTAACGAGGACTTTTTAGGTCAGTGTTTCGTTTCTTTTGCATGTGATGGGGCTTCAGTCATGCTAGGGAAGAGAACAGGCGTTGCTACCCAGTTGTGTAGTAAATTCCCAAGCCTGTTTGTGTGGCACTGCTCCAATCATCGTCTAGAGCTGGCAGTTGGGGATGTGGTCAAGGAGGTCTCAGGGCTCAATCATTTCCAGATCTTTTTTGACAAACTCTATTCCTTGTTCCATGCCTCCCCCAAAAATCAGAGGCAGTTAGCGCAGCGTGCGCAAGCAGTCGGACAGCGTCTCCTGGTGATAGGGCGTGTTTTGTCCATCCGCTGGGTGGCTTCAAGTGAAAGGAGCGTCAGAGCAGTCTGGGAAAACTACCGAGTGCTTCATGATCACTTCACAAATGCTGCAAACGACACGAGCAGGGAATCCAGAGACAGAGCAAAGTACAAGGGCCTGGATGATGTGCTCACATCTGCAACGTTTGTCAGCAATCTGGGACTGATGTACGATGCGCTCACAGAGCTCAGCGACCTCTCTCGGCAACTCCAAAAAAGAGAGATGACACTGCCTACAGGCAGATAGGCTCTTAACTCGAGAAATACGAGTTTTTGAATCCATGGTCACCATGCCTGGCCCACACATGACTACAGTTCATACAGCTCTAGCTGAGAAGTCCTTCAAGGGTGTTGCCCTGCGTGAGAATGGCAGGCTTGTACAGATTCATGCAGGTCAGTTTTTCCGCAGTATGGTAGAGAATCTGAGACACAGAATGACTTCCACAACCTCCTCTCATGTCAGCACAAGAGAAATCCCATTACATGGCCGGGAGGCCCGGGACAATCAGCTAATCCAGGACATGAAAGTTATCCATCCTGGAAGTTGGCCTGAAGAGGAGTTAGACGTACAGTATGGGGACGTAGAGGTGCTACGTTTGTGCGAAGTGCTGAAAGTGGACAGAAGAGAGACTGTTCAGGGCTTTCGCGAATACAAGGAAACCAGGGCATCCCGTACACCTGCTGCCATGGAGCCTCTACTGAAAGCAGTCCGAACCATCGCTGTCTCCACTAGTGAGTGTGAGCGGGCATTCAGCTGCATGAACGATATCCTTACTGCAAAAAGGAATGCTCTCTGTCAGCCGACTGTCCAACCTGGTTTTCATTAAATGTAATGGACCATCACTAGGACAGTTCAATCCGGAACAGTATGTGAGGTCCTGGCTGGCAAAGGGAAGGAGAAGTGCTGATGAAAGAGCCTGTCCAGCTCCAGCCCCTGATACTGATGTCCCCAAG